GACATAGAACCTAAAAGTCGCCTGTTCAGGGGGTTTTTGGTCAGTGAATACTTTGGTATCTGCTTTGTGACTGGTTTTTAACACATTTCCATGTTCTTTATGTGAAATATATAGGATTTTTATGTTTGGCCAAGGTTTTTCAAAGGAAAGAAGCTTTATAAAAAGTAGAAGATTTTTTAAAAAGTAAATAAATATTTGCTTTAGTCCCTTTCTCTACTTTCTTCACATAGATACCTTACTAAGGTTAACACAAAGCTTTTTGTTTATTTTTTAATTTTATTTTTCATTTGACAGTAATAATTGTACGTATTTATGGGGCACAGAGTAATATTTTTGATACATGTATATACTGTCAGGCTAATTAGTGTATCCATCTCCACAAACATTTATCATTTCCCTGTGATGAGAACATTTGAACCCCTCCCTTCTACCCATTTGAAAATATATAGTAAATTATTGTTAATTACAGACACCTAGCACTACTATAGAATACTAGAACTTATTCTGCCTATCTATCTAACTGTAATTCTGTACCCATTAACCAGTCTCTCCTTTTCCCCACTTCCCCTACCCACCCTAGTCTCTAGTAACCTCAATTCTACGCTCCACTTCTATGAGCTCACTTTTTTTTTAGCTTCCACATGTGAGAACATGCAGTATTTATCTTTCTGTGACAAAGCTTTTTATTTATGGTAGAAAAAATTAGCTCACTTTGAGCTTTTCACAGGGATGTAGGAATGACTCATTCTAATATGGAGGGGGTTGTCATAAACACTACTTACATGACAAGTAAAAGAGATAAGGAGAAGTGAGGAAAAGGACCGTGAAGACACTCCTGATGGATGCAGTGTTGACCCTCAGGTTGAAGTGGTGACTTGGAGTCTTCTGAACCCTGCTGCCCCCCAGACCACACCTGCGTATCCACCTGCCCCCCGACACTTGTCTTTCTTTGCCATCCTTGCACCTATCAAAGAGCTGGTACCCGCCTTCGCCCCACCACCACCTTGCCTCCCTTCCAGTCGAAATTATTACACTCTCTTCTGCTCTTCCACTTTGCAAAATCAGAACTGCCTTAAACACTTTGGTATGAGGAATACCGTTTGGTATTAGGCCCTTGGCCAGAAATCAAGTACTTCTTGGAGTTTACTCCCCGCCTCCCTGTTTATTTAACTTATGAAATGTTTGGTACTCACAAAAGAATTAAGTTTCTAAATCATGAAGCATAATGATTAAACAAATGCCTGGAGCCTGTCACACGTATCCAGAGACCCTCACCAAGACGAAACACAAGGCCCCCTGTGTTCCTCCCCCTCATTCCTCTGGCCCCTTCCCTGGTCACTGCAGCCTGAACTGCATTTCCCTTCCTTCTCTTTATAGTTTCAGCACACACATACACACACACACACATGCATGTACATATGTATCCCTAAATAAAACATTCGTTTTTTGTTGGCTTTTTAAAATTGTACTAAAAAGTACATAACATAAAATTTACCATCTTAACCATCTTTAAGTATATAGTTCAGTAGTGTTAATTATATGCACACTGTTGTCAAACATTTGCTTTTTGAACTATATAAAAATGATATCACATTCTACAGATTCTTCTGGGATGTTTTTCATTCAACATTATGTTGGAGATGCATTTGCATTGAGGTGGTATGTGTGATTGTGATTTGTTTCTTTGTATATAGTATAATATTGTATTTTAATGAATATCACTATTTGTCCATTCTGCTCTTGATAGATATTTGGGTTGTTTCTAGGTTTTGACTGTTGAGAACATTGCTGCTGTGAATACTCTGTATGTGTATCCTTGTGTACATATTCATACATTTCTCTAGGGCCTCTGCTCAGGACAGGAATCACTACGTTGTGGAATATGCTTACCTTTAACTCTGACATTTGTGTGCTCTTCCTATGGCCTTGCATGTAAAGCTCCCCACATGCTAAGCATCTACTTCTGGCATTTGTGCAGAGGAAGTCTGAATATTGATAGCAAGTCTGATCTGTGCACAGCCAAGCACTGGTTGAGTGGGGCCAGAGCCCTGTGGCCCAGTTTGAATGGCCTGAGCTCAGCTCTCTGCTAAGCCACTGCATGCTGGCAGACTGTCCCTGGGATGGTCTGAGGAATACATGGGATTAAGTGAGGTGCTCTATGTTTCTGAAAAGATAATATATAAATATAAATAAGGCAGGGAAGACACTCAGTGCTTTGCTCTTTGGGGTACAGTAGTGGTTAGTTGGTAAACTCTAACATGGGCTTTGGCTGTTTTATTCACTGACATATTCGAAGTGCCACAAACCACATGCTTGGCACATCGTGGGTGCTCAATAAATATTTTTGAATGAATGAAGGGTTTTCTGTGAGACTTGCAAGAAGTCACAGCTCTGTGGACTCAGTACACGTAGTTATAATGTATTTTTAAAGCTCAAAGGAACTGTTAAAATTTATTTTTACTTCAATTTCCCCATCTTTGAAATGAAGATTTTATATTTATCATTTACATTTACATTATTTATATTACAATTTTAAAACATATTCTTTTAACATTATTTTAAGTAGTTAATGGTTAATGTCACAACCTGTTAGCCATAGGTAAGAGGCTCCTAGATTCTGATGAGTTTCATATCAAGTTATGAGGTCTTTGGGCACCAGGCAAGTCAATAACAATGTCTGAATGATTAGAAATGTGACTTAGCCCTATCTCTGGTGGTAGAGGTGAGAGATTAATCTTCTCTCTTTGACAGTTTTAATTTAAATTACCCTTGCAGGCAACACAAGAATACTTAAAGACAGTATCATCTCGTTATGGAAGGACTGTGAATTTTGAAAGCCAAGTTTATTCTATCCAAGCAACATTTTAAAAACAAAATTTTGTAGCAACTCATTTATCCAGCTAAAGGATAAAAATTTTAAATCCAAAACTTTTAAAAGAGAATTTGCAGTTTTCATTTTAAAAATAAATATGTATTCTAAAAGTAATGTACTCATGAAACTATTTTTTGTAATACAAGCTCTGGCACATTTAAAGTTTTTTGGTATTCTTTCATTCTTTCCTCTATTTGCTTATACAAGTGTATATTTATGAAAGTAAGAAAAAACAACCATGTATTATATCTTGATTCCCCCCCTCCCATATCAGACATTTAACCAATCCTCTATTGTTGGACATCTCATTGGTTTTCTATTTAAGAAATAAGTGATTGTAAACACTTACATGTGGCTGATATTTCCAGTATTTACAATCTTTGGTTCTTCAGTTTATGTTTCATTTAACTCTTGTGGTGATGTATGTGTATTTAAATTGTGAACTCATGTTACCTAGATACTTATCTGGGGGACTCTCTGAAGCCTGTGTTTAAGTGTGTTCCCTGGAGAGGATCTGCATTTGCCTCTATGTACCTGGTGGCACTACTGATGCAGAACCACTTTCGGCCTGGGTGTTTTTAGGGGTTATGATCACATCCACAAGATGACTTCCAGTCCCAAACCTGTGTGAGTACAGGTCTATTGACAGGAATTCTCCAGGGAGGTATTTTTCATTATTTCTAATCTACCCAGAGCCAAGGATGAGGCAGGCCAGCAACCCCGTTGTCTCTGTGTGTGTGGTGGTATTTTTTCCTCTGATTCATCCACTCAGACCTGATCTCCCACCCTGTTTGGATCCTACAGTTTATCTCTTTTTCCAGCCTCCTATTTAAATGCCTGCTTCAGTGCTGGCTTATCTCTGTAGCTTTGAGCTTTCTGGGCATATCTAACCTTCTCAAAGGCAGTCTGTGTGCAATGGATTATTATTATTTTTTAAATGACACCACTATTAGGGTTTTTCTAGGCATCTATTTTGGAATATTGTCAGAAACGGAAGTCCCAATGATGTATTTATGCAGGTATTTTCATCTGCCTAGCAATACTGATGGAGAAAAAGCCAAAAGATCTCACAGATTACCCAATTGGGCACACCCTGGGATAAGGCCAAGGATTTCTTCAGACATAAACAGGCAGAAAACTTGCCTAGGAGGCCACCTTTGATAGGAGAAGAAGGGAAGTGGTTAAAAAAAAAAAAATGTGTGTGTATATATATATCTGTTTGGAACTAGATTTTTTTAAAGGGGGTTTATTTTATTTTTTTATTGAATCATAATTGATTATATATATTTTTGTGATTCAATCTTGACATATATGGATCAAATCAATATTACTAGTATGTATGTTGTTATAAATTATACTTTTCCTTATGCCCCTTGTCCAGTCTCTCCCTGCCCCCTCTCGCTCCTCTTCCCACCACTGATAACCCTAGATTTCTTTTCTCCCTCTGAAAGAGTAGTGGTTACTCTTTTGATTTGTTGCCTAGATGATCTGCCCAATACTGAGAGGTGTGTTCAGGTCCCCCAGTATTATCATAGAGCAGATGCTGCTTCTGTCATTCTGGAATGGGCTTTGTAGAGAGAGACATCCTCTTCTTTTCTCTGGTCTCTGCTGGTGACTCTCCTTGTGTCAAGCGCACTCCAGTGGCTGGTGGACCATGTGTGTGGTGGTTGTGACATCTAGCCACTTTTGTGGCAGCTGTGGTTACTGTGGTACCTGTGGTGGGCCACCCACATGGAGGTGATGTTTTTGGCATGCTCCTTGGCACTGGCAGTGTGCCTGGTTGTGGGTTGGGGGTCCAGTCTCTAGCTCCAAGCTAAAAGGGTTTTTATGATGATATTATTTTGGAGAGGTAAGAATAAAAGGGTTCAGCGCTTAACAAACATTTCATTCTTTTTCGATTCTGTTTCTCATTGTGTACCATACTAATTTTCTAGTATTGTTAAGACTGCCATTTCATTGAAGGAGTGTGTTCGAAAATAGGTAACATCATGTTCCAAACAAATAACTCTTTTTGGTATGTGAAAGTTTGAACTGGACTCTATATTGAGGCATTATGAATTATAGTTTTATGCGTAGCATTGAAATGTTTGTGGTTTTAATCAAATTGGTTTTGCTTGTTTTAAAACAGGCCCCAGGCATGGAAGAGCTGATATGGGAACAGTACACTGTGACCCTACAAAAGGTGAGTCCTGCACATTCATATCTCCTACAGTCATGTTCTTGTCTTTACAGATCGTGACTTTTGTTTATTTTTGTCCACACACAGTTTGGATTTTTCCCTCCTTGAGGTGTATAATGCATTGGTAGGTACTAACTGGCAATAATTACTATGTTAACAAAGATTTGCATTCTGTTATATTTTTTAAGGTCTGCATAACATAGAACATTTTAGAGGTTATTTAGTGCATTCACATGTCTCCAAACAGAACAAGTTGTGAAAGAGAGAAAAGGAGGGGAAGAATGAGAATAACACGTTCTGCTTAGGGACATTGAGGTAGCTTTTCCAACTTCTGTAATTTTAATTATAACATATATACCTTGTAACTTCCTCAGTGAGTTTTAAGCCCAAACTAAATTTGCAAAGATTGGCTTAGGAATCGGGAGACATGGGTTCTAGTCTTTGTCCCACTCCTAATTAAGAGGGGACGAGTTAATCACATTAAAAATTTCTGCACGCCTCCTCCCATGGGATTGAAAGTAGAACTAATACCACATGTAAATATATTTTACTTAATTTTTAAAATAATTTCACAGATATTACCCATCTTATACATAAAGCTTCTAAATCCATGGAGTCAGGCCCATAATCGATGCTTAATAAATATGAAGGTACTTCAGAAGGTTCAGGGCAAGATTTGCATTATCTTCAATCATATATTTCCACGAACTTTTTGTAGTACCCTCGTACACGTGAGCTCCGTTCCTTCTTGTTCTGACAGCAAAGTTCAAGGTAGGCACAATAGGTATTAGCCCTTCTCCAAACAAGCGTAGCAGCTGAGCCTGTAGGTAATTTGTGTGAGGCTGAGCTGGAATAGAACTGTTTTCATAGTCCGGATTCATACTCCATCAAGCTGCCTTTGTGTCAGCACCGCTGTGATTTTCCTGGGCCCCTCAGGGATCTTCTTCCTGCTCAGAATCCCTCCAATTTGGCACTTCCTAGAGGGATTGTAAATTCCTCTTAAGAGAGAGGTGTTTTTTTTGAGCCTCAGAACTATGAGCTTTGAGCCCTGTCTTCAGTGAAAATTTGGTTCCTGAATTAAACGTTCATTGAATTAATCCAGGTAGGGGAAATGTTGCTGGGTCAGTGCCCAGGTGCCCAGATGATTCTGGATCAGTAATCACAATTTCTTCAGTTGAGAGGTTTTGCCTGTTTTTCTTTTTTTCCAACTCTAGTCATCCCTCTGACTCTCTCTGTGCCCTCTCCACCACCATTTCATATACTCCTTCAGTTGTGAACCCCAAATTGACAAAGGTGAGAGGCTTTTTAGGCTTGGTATAGATGAGAGGGCTGACCCTAAAACCGGGTGCCAGGGGATGGCACTGCCAAATTCAGTCATATGATTAATAAACAGCCCAACCTGTTTTGAGTGTGTAATTATTTGTAATCAGTCAGCATAGTGGGCTCCAGATGGGAACTTTTTTTTGGGGGGGGGGGATTCTTTTATTCTGAGTAGATTTTTACATAATCAAGCCCTGATTTAGGATTATACTTGTACAGTCACATACAACCCATATCATCTGGTCGAAACTGGGCTGTGTTTAGGATTATGTAGTATCTGAGTTCACTGTTCTGTTATGCATTGCTAGAGCGATCATGGTATGTCTCATGTGCATGTAGAAAAGGGTTTAATGCTTTGCTCTCTCAAAGTCTCAACACTAATTTTATGTTGATTTTATCTTTAAAATTCACTTGCTTCTTTTTCACCTGTGTTGAAATGCAATTACCAACTGATTTAATTTGAAGTTAAAGGTATACTTTAAACACAGAGTTTTGGCACAGATTCAGCTTTTACTGATGATATTCTAGCTCAGGCCAGCATAATGCAAACAGGTACAATTGGTGCCTCAGACAGCACATTCCTGTTTGGACGGAAGACATTATTTCCCACCCCTGCCAGCTTCGAGTGATAACTCCACCCTGTACTGTCAATCTTTTCCAGCTTTCACAGGCTGTTTCTTTCAGATAAGGAATTTCCCTTTATAACCTTGTCAGCTGGGTATGATTTGTTTCTCATTCGTTTCTGTAAGCCCATCTGTTCTTGAGCTGTCCTGGTTATTGATTCGACCTTTATTTTATTGAGTGCTTGTAATAAATCCTGAAAGCCACTTATGGAAGGATTTTTCACTTTTCTCCCAACTCTAATGAACAGGATTCCAAAAGAGGATTTGGAATTGCAGTGTCTGGAGGCCGAGACAACCCCCACTTTGAAAATGGAGAAACGTCGATCGTCATTTCTGATGTGCTCCCGGGCGGGCCCGCCGATGGGCTGCTTCAGTGAGTGTCCTTTCTCCCCTCCCCCAGCCCCTGCCAGCACCACGGGTTGGCCCTAGACAGGGTGCTTTGGGTGGTGTGCACTTTTTAATGTTTTTTTAAAAAAAAAAAAAAAAGAACTTTTATAGAACATTTGAAAAGTCTTCAAGTGGGAATTGAGGCCATGAACATACCATGTTTAACAATCCCCAAACCTTCGGGAACATCCAGACTTTGAAGGGAGGAGGGTGGTTGTTTCCACGGCAGTATAGTTATAAACCTCATTCCTAGGTTTAGAAATCATTTCTGAACGTGGAGATTAAAATTGGCACCTTCCTCCCCCCAACCCCCCATGCTTATCCAATACTGTTTATATTTGTTTTAATTCATATACTTTGAGAATTTAATGTGGAGACGTTGGCTAAATGATGATCTTATTTGTACGAGGAATGTGGAAATTAGGAATATTTGCTACAGGAAAACACAAATTTTCCAACTGCCAGCCTTCTGGCCTGAAGAGATAATGCCATTTTAAAAGATGGATGCATGCCTGGGTCCCTTCAGGGTAATTTCTTAGGGTGGACTCTAAAGTGGCTGCATTGGCCAGATGGCAGAAAAGTTTGGCATCTAAAGTCTCCATGATCCTATCAAAGTTAGTAGTCTTTCACATGGAGCAATGTAAAATTTTAAAATAATTTTTGGGATGAGCTGAAGTAATAGTATTCTGTGATCTCAAAATTTCTTTAAGAATCTGAGGCAAGCTCTTGACCTCTTTCCCTCCAAAAAGCACAAACAAATATACACCTACTTTGGGGGAGTGTTTGTAGACTTTCTAAAGCCCACCATATACCTTGGGTAATGGGGCACTGATACAGAAATTCCTTTTGGGGTGCAGACCTCGCCACCACCGCACGTGCCTCCTGGAGTGACCCTGTGGGTGGGGAGGGCAGGCCTCTTTCTCCCCAGGTGGTTTTCGTTAGACACTCCTAGAATTGAGCTGTGTGGCCTCAGTTTCTTTCCCGAAGAACTCAGACTGAGTTATTGAGCCCTAGGAGCCCCTCAGACACTGAGCCCTTTAACAAACATTTCAGGGTGATTTGCTGCTTTTGTTCCTAAATAAACGATTTACAATGGATAGATGGGACTTTTTCAGGACCCGTTTTTGTTTCTTGTTTACAGGGAAAACGACAGGGTGGTCATGGTTAACGGCACTTCCATGGAGGATGTGCTCCATTCGTTTGCAGTTCAGCAGCTTAGGAAAAGTGGGAAGGTCGCGGCCATTGTAAGTACCTGGTTGGCTTTAAGGTCGCCTTCGTAGCATTTTGTTTTTATATCCAGAAGAAAATGGCAACTTGCTTTTAAGCATTTGACAGAATTACGTAACCTATAGACCACTCCTTCTTGGATCCTCAGTACTTTCGGAGTGTGACATTGTGGGTGATGGGAAGATGTGTGTATGTTCTCCCTGCCTTTCCTCGTCCTTCTCCTAAGGCCAATGATTCCCTTATCAGAGTGAGTTTGCCTTAGGAACCAGGGTAAACCATTATTCCCTAAGAAAATTAGCTAGATTGAGAACACTAGCAAAATATTATTAATTTAGAAAAAAGTTTTTAGCTCAAAAACTACATAAAGACCCAAACAAGTTCTGTTATATCTTCACAGACTAGATTTCTTAGAGGATGGTGGCAGTCTGTCCCATTCATTGATTTAGTCACTCCCTCATTCATTCAGCAAACACTGGCCAAGAATCAACCATGAGCCATATGCTCCCAGGCCCTGAGCCAGTCGGTGCTGCAAGGAGTGTTCCCTTCAGTGGGGCAGGTGGAGACACAAAGTGAGAATTGTGACAAAGTGTGTTTAAGGGCTTTATATTATGAAGATTTTCAAACAAAAAGAAAACTTGAAACATTAGTGTAATAAATAAATATCTTCTAAATATTCTGCCATCTTTACTCGATCACTCTGTGTATATAAACACTTGTGTATTTTTGATGAACCATTTGAAGGAAAGTTGCAAGTATCATGACAGTGCAATCCAACTTACTTCAGCATGAATCTCCTAAGAATGACACTCTTCTACGTAACTATAATACTATTATTATATCTAAGAAAGCTAATAACAACTAATAGCCAGTTCATATCTTAAGATGTCTTTGATGCTTTGTTTTCTTCCCCATCCAGGAGTCAAAGTTCACTCATTGCATTTGATGGTTATCTCTTCAGTCCCTTTTAATCTAGAAGGAACTAATCCCTTTGCCTCCCCCGCTCCTCTTTTAAATGACATTGACTTTTGGAAGAGTCTAGGCAGTTATTTGCAGAATGTTTCACTTCCTGGATTTTCATTTGATTTTTATGACTTAGGGTCATAAAAGTTTGATGAAACCCTATCTGAAACATTCTTTTATTTATTTATTATTAGAAAAAGCAAAGGCATATGGGCTTTTCAAACTTGAGTAGATGCAGATTTTGTAAGTACTGGTATCATTAGCTTAACTCAAGGCCCTGTGCTTAGAGCTTCACACTCACTGTCTTATTTTATTCTAACCCTGTGAGGTTTTTATTGTCCCTGTGTCCACACGAGGAACGCCAGGCTTAGTGAATGGGCAGGGACACAGTTTTACTGAAACTGGAACCAAGGCTCTTAACCACTGCATTCTCTACGTTCAGTTGTGATTTTCCTGTGGCCACACTGTGTGTGTTTTGACAACAGGTGGTCAAGAGGCCCCGGAAGGTCCAGGTGGCCCCGCTGCAGGGCAGCCCTCTCCCCGATCAGGATGACCGGGCTTTTGGGGCGATGGACGAGTTCGATGGCAGAAGTTTCCGCAGCGGGTACAGCGAGAGGAGCCACAGCGGGCGCAGCCGCAGCTGGGAGGACAGCCCGGAGAGGGGGCGTCCGCACGAGCGGGCACGGAGTCGGGACCGGGACCGCAGCCGCGGCCGGAGCCTGGAGCGGGGTCTGGACCAGGACTACGGGCGCGCCCGAGACCGCGGCCG